AATGTAAATTGGTTCAAATGTGAAACGAAACGGTAATCCAGCAAAGTTGTTTCCTTACAGGACTGAATATTTTGAGAGAATATCTAAAAGCTGTTTGTTGATTAATTTTACAATTGCTTTTCGAAGGCATTCTAATAAAGTGATAGGGCGGGTATTATTTAAGTTATATTCCTATAGTTTGGGTTTTGGGATGGGATAGACAAAAGTGAGATTCCATCTATCAGGCATGCAGGAAAGTTTTATATAGGCACAAGCGAAGATCCAAAAAATATGTTTCATTTTGGGGCCTAAATGCTTTAACATCTCATTTGAAATTTTAGAGGGGCTGGGAGCTTTATCATTAGATAATATCTGAAGGAGTCTGTTCCATTCGTCTTCACTCAGTGGATCCATAAGGTTATTGTAAATTTGAGGATCAATTGTGTCGATGGGTTCGTATCATTTTTTCCAGTGATCAGGTAAAGGGACGAAGTGGTGTCTAGTACTAGTTGCTTGTTGAAAGTGTCGATTAGTTTCACGTTTGACATCATCAGCTGAGGTAAGTAATCCAAGATCATCAAGTGAGTTGTTAAAGCATCTGTCCAGAACAATTGTTTGTCTTTGTCTATTAAGGATAGAATCATACATCTTGACTTGATCATCATGGAAATTATCACATCTGCGTTGGAGAGCTGCTTTGATTTGTTTGGTTTTATGTTTGTTTTCTTCTAGTTTGATCGCTAGCAAATGGATTTTGAGTAGATCAGCAATATTTTGTTTAATAGCGATGAGATCAGCAGTTTGTGGGATGTTGATATTCGTCTAGTTTAAATTGTATTTTAACGCGATATCAAAAACTATGTTATATATTCTGGGCCAATTTGCTGATATAGAATTAAGGCGAATGCATTTTTTTATTATATGTAGGAATTTTTGTAGTAAAATCAATTATTTATAGAGATTCTTCAATAGTCTTGGTCTGAGGTCACGGAAATGTTGGAATGAGTATCTGGACGGGATACATTTTTCAGCTGCTTTTTCAATACATCCTTGCATTAGATTCTAAAAGAAGTTAAAGGCATGTTTTGAGTGTAATCTGTTGGGAGAGAGGTTGGATAGTTGACAGCTTCCGAGATAACCATCTATTTTTTTACCAAATTGTGTCTAAGAGTTATCATCTATGTCATCATAAAGGTAGATCTTCTTTTTTGTGCGTTTTTGGTCATTGTTTGAAAAGGTAAGTTCAGCTATATTCACATTGATGTAGACTATTGAATAATCAGAAATGTTGAAATCAACATCAATGGTTTGGGTTTTGTTGAGGCCTGCAACAATCTGTAATGAAGTGTAAATATAGTCAATTCTTGAGGGTTGATGGCGTGTAATGTGAAAAAATGATGGAAATAATTGATTAGCGTTATCGTGTAAAAGATCAAAAGAATTGAAGAGTTGGAGGTCTTCTAATTGGGTGAAGAATTGATTGGCTTTTGACATATTATTAGAACGGTCTGAAATCGTATTTAGGTCTCCTAGTAAGATGATTTCTATGTTGAGATCTTTCGCTGATTTAATGACGTTACATATATCTTTATATGTTTGTTCTTGAAGGGTTGTATTTGAGCTTGAAATGTAGCAATTAATCAATCTTATGTGGAATTTGTTGCGAAATTGAAAATTGACGAAAATATAACGTCCATGTTGTCTATGATATTTGTAAATATGATCAGCGATATTTTTTTTGATAAGAAGGCCAACTCCGAAACTTGAGTTCTGTGCTTGTTGATCAAAATTAAAAAAATGCGAGTATTGTGATGAAGTTGATTTTGAAAATGATACTGTATTGTTGGTTGATTTAAAGTTTATCTTTTGAAGACCTATTATATCTAAGTGATTAATATTGTAAGTATTGAGCAGAAATTGTTGTTTTTGTGGTTAAATGAAAGAGCGAACATTGTGTGTCGCAATATTGAGTCGAGAGGATAAGGAATTATTGGTCGAAAATAAATTATGGGTATTGTAAGTAGTTGTTATTTTTTTGTTTGATATTGGGTCACTGGGGCTAACCCGTTTAAAATTCTGTGAATTATCAATCATTAAAAATATTTAGGGGTAGGGGATAAAGATACCGTCAACTGTTTTTTCATAGCTAGAAGGGGGAGCAACTTCTTCAATAGCAGTAAAGGCATCTGGATTGATTTGAAGTTGTGTTTGTAGGATTCGTTGCATATTAGCGATAGCACGTCCTGCATTATTGAGTTTGGTTATATTATGTTCGAGGTTGGTTTTAAGGAGAGTGTTTTCTTCTCTTAAGGTAATAAGTTCAGCAGATTGTTTGGCGATAATGTTGTCTTTTGTATAGGGACCAGCTACGTAAGTATGTTCTTCAGTTTCCATACCATCTTCGTTAAAGAATTTGTTAAGTAACTCTGCTTGGTGGGGGAGTAGGACGTTGATATTAGGGATTTTTTCAACTGTAGCAACTCGATTTGCAATCAAGTAAAGTTCTGACTCCATTTTAGTGAGTTGCTCAGAGATAGCTAATAGTTGGTTGGAAATCTGAGCAAGTAGTTCAGGTTAGGATGGTTGGTTTGGGGTAACTTGCGGTATACAAAACTCGTCTAATGTATCATCAGCCCAGAGATGTGATGCATGTATACTAGCATCAAGGGTTTATTTTCCTTTATCATTGATAGGACGGATTGGAGCGGTACGTTGCGGGTTTCAAACATCATTTGATGGTTTGGTCTTAGGAAATGATGTTTGATTATTAGGCGGAGTGATAGTACTATTGGGTTTAGGTTTATCAGTGGTATTGTTATGTAGTTGGCTTAGTTTGGGTTTTTCTGTATTTTGTTATTTTTTGGGGAAAGTTGGTGGTCTGGGCGTAACGACAGATGCTTTATAATTACGAAACTGTACAGGTTGGTAGCGCTGATATAAGTGTTGAGTTTATCGATCTTATGGGGCTGAACGATTTTTACGACAATTCTGCGATTAGTGTTCTGGAACTTGACAATTGAAGTAGAGTTTTGCATTGGAATCAGTCCAGATTAATCGTTTCCTATTAAGGAAGTATGTTTCTCCATTTTTTGCTGCTTTCATAAATTCTTTGGTTTTAAAATAGAAAATGGCGTATTGTAAATTTCTGTAGTTAGCACGTGATTTTGAGATGATCTAGGCAATCGCTTCAATGGCATTACTGATAGAGATTAGATGGCGTCCATTTGTGTCAAGTAGGAGATTAGTCAGTTTCAATGAAAATTCTGATTTCTTTCTAACGTCTTTGACTGACATAGTACATGGGTGGACTTTGACTAAGTCTTTAAGAACAAAGTAGCTATTAAGTTTGTTTAAGGTAGTCATGTCTGTGTCTTGTTCAAATGTAAGGGTAGCTTGCTGCCAAAGGTTTTTAGTGAACATGACGCAACAGGAGATCTTTCCAAAAAAGAAAAAGTTGATCTAATGTTTGATTCAGTAGTAGAGATTAGGATCTCAGTAAGACAGATCGATAACTCAGGGATATACTTAGCTATTGGTTTGATTGTGAGGGTAAAAACGTGTTATTTTTCAAATATGGAAATTTAAGTGTAATTGCATTATTTGCTTTAACATGTGACATAAAGCCAATTTGGATGATTTTTTTTGTTGAGTTCTCGGGGTGAGTACAGATTGATGCACCAATAAAAGATGAGTAGTGTGGTGCAAATAAATCACATGCTTCATTTTATTTTTCTCTATTGGATTTTTCAGGGTAAAACTTATCTGCAGCGCAGTAAGCGAAGTAAATTGGAGCTTCAGTTTCGCGTTTCAAGTGGATTTCATTTTTTTCATTTTGTTTATTGTTAAGGCCATTTTTAGAAGCGTCAAAGGCTTGGTCTTCATCAAGGGAGATATTGGTATTATTGTCAGAAGTTTCAGGATCTTTTCCTTGTCTAAAGTGTTGGGAAGTGAAGTTTCAACCTCTATGTCTGTAGGGCTGTTGGAGTTGCTTTCAGAGACGTTTGTAGTTTCTGTTTATTTTGGTTATTCAATATGTTATTTCTTAGCTGGGCGTTGTTGTTGTTGGTCGTTCTCCATAGGAGAGAAACGAACTTGGTTAGGTTTAGAGTTGTTATTACGAGCGTTTTTTTTTCTAGTCATTTTTTGGTTTTGGTGATCGACAGAAAGAGTTTTTTTTTTATGAAGAAAGAGTTAATAAATTATAAATAAATAAAAAATAATTAATTGCAAAAAAGTGAAAAAAAATATTTATAACGTTGATTCTTAGATAATAATAAAACTAAACAAATTCTATAAATGATAAGTGATAAAATATATTAAGTAGATATAAGCTTTATTGAAGTTATTGAATTTATAAAATATTAATAATTTGTAATTTTAACAATTTACAATATGTATAATATATTAAATAAAATTTATTTATTTTATATTTTAATATAAATTATAAAAAAATTCTTTATTTCTTATTTTTTTTTTTTTTTAAAAAAAAAGTAATTATTATCTTATTACTATTTTATTCTTTATATTTTTTTTTGCTTTTTTATTTTTCTTATTATTAAATATTTAATATGAATTTTTAAAAAATAAATTATAATAAAATTTAACTCTATAAATAAGTATTATATACAATAAATAATAATATATTATGTATTAAAATTTTTTTTTTATAATAATCTTTATTTAGATAATACAAAAATTCTAAATACAGTAAAGTCTAATAAAGTATAAAAACATTTTCAATTAAATTATTATTACCAATAATGGTATAGGATAAAACAAGCATACTCATAAATTTCAATTTCAAAACTTAAAATTAATATATTTATTATGTATTGAAGTAATAAGATATAATTGAAAATGTTTAATTAAATATAATTAATATAAATAATATATATACTACTGTACAAACATAACTAAATAAAAATTGTCATCTTTAAATTTTAAATACTTGATTTCTCAACTTTCTCCGTGGTTTTATTTTTTAAATATCTAAAAATAACCTATCCAAGAAGAAATTTATTTTAAGCTTTCTCTCTAAGACTTTCCCTACCAACTTGAAAACTGGTGCGTTCGGCAATAAGATTTTCAACCCATCTGAGTTCATTATATCCATCCAACATTTTACAATCAGCTTCCTTATATCCTATTTTCTCATCAATCATAATTAATCTTATTATGGTTTCAGGTAATAAAACATCGTTCACAAATCGTAATTTCATATCATTCGAAAGTTCAGAATTAAATAACGATTCTTCATGTTGAATTGTGATAGTTTCATCATTAACAACACGTTTGTTAGTAAGTTTCTTCGGTGACAAAATCTTACTTTTCTTATCAATAGATTCTGCTATCTCTGGAATGAACATTCCCCTCAAAACTTTTGCAATTAACCCAAATTGACTCAAAGTAAACGGACCCGGTGAAACTTTTGATGCTAATAAGTTCCGCTTTTTACCACCCATATAAAAATGTTGAAATCTCCATGATGAGTTTTCCTTGCCTCGCAAAATTTGACTTAATATCGGTTCAAGTGATTGAATTGTTTTTACCAGCTCAGGTTCTTCATAAGTTGGATCCTCATAATCCATTTCAAAGCAACCCAACTTTAAAACAAAATAAAATTTTAATAAATGCAAATTATTGATAAGTAATAAACAGTAAAAAAAAACACTCGTATTACTTCACAAGTTTTAAATCCATCTTCATATTTGGTAAAGAATTCCTTCCTTTTTAAATTGTGGCTCACATTATCAAAAAAACGAACTTTATATTTATCTGGCTATAATTAACTTATAAGTTATTAACTCACATTAACTTACCATAAAAATGTTAATAAATTTAATCGTTTAAATACCTTATCGAAACCTATAATTGTAGCTGGATAAAATTTTTTTTGGTACTTTGCCAATACATACTCTCCTGGAATTTGTAAACTACAAAAGAAAAGAAGCATGTAAACTATTATAAATTACACACATGATCATTGTATGGATGAATTTCCTTACTTTCCATCTTTTCCGATCTCGAAATCGCTGCTGATAGATCTAAAAGAAGTATATAATAATATTTTAGTATAAGCTGTATGGATATTAATAATTATATTTTTCTAATATACTTTACTTCTCCCAGCTCGGACTTTCTTTCCCGAATATGGAAGAATTATTTATTTCTTTTGCAAGTTGTTCATTCGCTACATTTTTTTTTTATTTTAGAATAAGAATAAAAAATGATCAATAAATATTCGATCATAATCTGAAATTGCGATTAATATTTCTTACACAAGCTCTTTCCAATCCTTTTCTTTTTATTAGGAGAGGAATTTTCAACAACCATTTGAATTGCCCAATCTTCGCTAGGCAACCCATCATTATCCTCAGTTTCTTTTGCTATAGCTTCGGCCAATGCTTTCGTAAATAATCCTTTCATATTTGAATTCTCGCCGGTTTTACGAAGTTGCATATAAAGTTTATTATGAAAAGGAAGGATGGTTGACTTGGAAATAGTATGCAACTCTAAATTACTGTGAAAAAGAAAGAAGCGATGCGTTAAAGTTATATAGAATCATAACGTTACTTTCTATTTATACGTACCATGGTGAGTTTAGTCCAAATAACCTGACTAACAAAGGTATTTCAGATTTATCTTTACTAATTATCTAAATAACCGAGAATATTCGAATGTGAACAAATCGAGTATAAAATCTTTTATTTTAATTAATATTTACCTCCGAAGGCCACCATCCTCTCTCCTCATCATTAACCCAAACGACGGTAGGCAACAACAACGGTTCGATTTTGTCATCTTTACTATCGAAATCATTATCGTTATCATTATTATAGTCATCTTCAATTGATAATGATGATGTACCACGAGTTAACTCCCCATTCACTTCATCCAAATGATCATCCTTGGATGAAATATTTTTAACAAGATAATCGATATTTTTGTGTTCAATAACAACAAATACATTCGAAGAATCTAAGAATGTGTCTTTTTGTTTAGGACGCCCTATATTTCCTTTATTTCGTAAATTAAAGTTAGATGATTTTTTGAGTTTTTTATGAGGAGTTGAATCTGTAGTGTTAGGTGACGAATTAATAATTAATGAATGTGTTCTTTTACGTAAATTATGAGACATTCTTCTAAAAGAAATACACTTTATTTTAAGTAAATCCTATATAGAAATTGTTGAACTTTAAATGTCAAATAAAAAAAAGTTTATAAAGGCGTCAGGGTAAAGATCCTTTTAAAAATAGTAAAACTCGCTTTGTAAATGTTTATAATTTGGTAACACAAAGATCACGCGTCTTATTTATTACTTAAATTAGCTTAAATTTCGGAAAAAAAAAAAAGGGTATCAAACTTGTTTTCCATCTGTTAACTTAATTTAAAGAAGATATCACACTGTTTAACTAATGGGACAATATAATACCTTTCGATAGGTGGTTTGGGAAATCGTAATCCATATAAAGGGTTATACATTAAAAAATGAAACATTTTTTTACTGATTCCTTTACATTTTATCGGTGCGTTAAAATATCTATTTTCTTTATCCGGATAAATAATTTTAATCGTAGCTTTCAATATATTCGCCAATATACATAATTGAGGTACACCCATAAGAGTATTATTAATACATGTGTTTAATGATTCAATTTGCCATATTAATGAAGCGTATTGCGGAGCATTGGTTGATAATCCGAAATATAATAATAATTCAATAGTATCTTTCTGAAAATATCCTTCATATACTGATGTGGTGGTGATATTTCCTCCGTTAGCTGAAATTTCTTCTGTATGATTTTCAAATATACGACGATTCTTATCTATTCGATTCACCATTTCCAACACTACACGAACTCTTAATTCCTCGTATAATAGCTCTTTATCATCTTTTCCCCTCTTGGTTAAATTATCATACTTATAATTTAATAACATTGATACCGCACGAAAACCTTCGTTTCCATCTTGCTCAACTTTTAATGGAAATTTGTAATCCGTAACATGTTTAGGAATAAACTTCATTGCTTCCTTTTCAATATCATATTCTGAATATGGTCCAATATTCTTTGAAAGATTTAATGACTTGAAATCTGTCAAGTCTATTAACTTTTGTATTTGTTGACATTCGGATTTCAATAATGAATATAAACGTTCCCATAAATCTTCAAAGTCGTCTTGTCGACGAAATGACTGTTTAATAAATTTTGCCAAGGTTGATAATCGTGCAATCATTTGATGAAAGAATTCGTGACGATCCACGCAGAGAATAGCATTTGAGGAGGAGGGGGATATTGTAAAGGTTGAAGTAACAGATTGTGATGGTGGTGAATTATCTTTAATTTTCACGGATGATTTTGTCGTATCATAAGTGATCGTATCGGTTTGTGACATGAACGTGCGATTAAAAGAATTGACGATCATGTCAACCGCGGGAATGGATTTTCTTCGATTTATATTTAATTCGTCTTGTTTTTGTTGAATCATTTTTTGTTTTTTATTTACGATAGGTATAAATAAAGGAATTTGGTCATCTGAATGAATTGCGTATGGTCGTTTATTATTATCGTTAGACGTATCGGTGGATGTTGAAATAACATCGTTTGTAGAGAATGGACTTTGAGAAGAATGTTGAAATGAATTCGATTGTTTTTGAGAATTATTTGAATCATTCTCGATAAAAGATGTATAAACGTAGTTGTCCGATTCAGTTTCATTTATCATGTCATAGATAGATTTAGATAATGGATAAGTAACTAAATCAAATTTGTCAAATGTTGCATTAGTCAATTCATTCGCAATTGAAATAGTAGATAATATTGGAGAGTCCCCGGTGGTTTTGCTTTTTGAAGGTCTTGAGATGCTTGTTCCATATGATGACATATTTATCGTCGTTTGATCATTCAGTAATAAGTTTGGATCATAAATATCAAAATTGAGAGTTGAATTCAAATTTTGGGATGTTTCAACTTCATCTTCATTGACATTTAATGGTTGTACATCATCCAAAACTTCAGAAGTTAAGGTGAAGAATTGATTAATATCAAATAAATCCGAAGGTGATGTGAACAGGTCTTGTTGATTTGAACTATTATAAATTTCACTTTCAAGTGAAGGAGTAGATTGTCTGTCAGACGTCTCAGTCGAAAGGGAAACTAAATTGTGATTTGGAGAAATTGTTGAATTTTTGCTAATCCGGTGATTAGTATTCATTTGAAAATTTTTGATTCCTTGGTTTTTTGATAATATGGGTCAATTTGTTCACCACACCAATTTGTTAAATAAATAATGACCTGCAGTGTCGAAGAATTTGAGTCGCAGTAAAATTAGAAAGATTTCTTATGCTGATACGGGTGAGAAAAAAAGTATTATTTATTTATCAAGAAAAAACGCTCATTGTCATTCTAGCATCCAATTGAAAATGGAAAGCTACAAAAATAAATCTTTGTTCAGAGATGAAGTTGCTTTTAGTTTATTTATATATATATATATATTATATGTCGTGTTGAAAAGGATGTAATCGATTCATTTTGTTAAGGATAATAATTACTAAAAATAAAAAGCTTTGTTTGATTCTTATGGAATGATGATAATTCAAAAAAAAAAAAAAAAAAAGTTTTTGATTATACAATATAAACAAAAAAAAAAAAAAAGACGAAAATGACATCAAAGAAAAATTAATTTTGTTTATACAGTATATCGATATGCAAAATGAATGGTTTTTAATAATTTTACATTGTATTATGAAATTCTCAATCATTACATTTTAAATACTTAATTAGGACGTGATTATCCGTTCCCGGTAATTCGGAAAAAACAATGATTGGTTTGCTCTTAAATTAAATTGTAATCTTAAAGAAGAACCACCCGACAAAGTAGGTCTCATTGACGGTAAGAAATCAGAAAATCTCTTACAACGCTTCAAAATAGGCTGTTCTCTTCGTTCTCTGCTAATTTTCATATTGAAATTTTTAACCTCATCGCTTTCCTTTACAAGATATGTGGAGTTGTTCAAGTTTCCAAGTAATTTGTGTAATTGTTTCAGTCTGATGTTTTAAATTCAAAATTTATTATTGACGTTATAAAGAATCGTTGGAAATCTTCATATAAAAAAAATGATGTTCTAAATGCTAGTAATGCTAATAAAATCGTTTAAGAGAAACAAACACAATCCTTTTAAGAGTTCAAGGTCGAAATTTTGGATCCTAAAAAAAGTAACTATTTAGCAAAATCTTTCGAATCTAAACAAATATTTAAACTTATAGAAATTACCAAATTTTGTTAACGCTTGTAATCTTCATTAATGTAAAATTTTACTATTATAAAATTTTAGGTACTTTGCGTTTTATTGAGATACGTTTAATCATCATCCATTAAATTTAGCTGTAGGAAATATATAAATCAGTTCTCAAAATTATATTAAAATATATATATGAATATATTTTTTATCTGAAAAATTTCCGATTCCTTACCAATTCATCCGTTGGCATTTGTTCTTCATCCGCTGTTTCAATAATCGACTTCCTTTCCAATTTCATTTTTAAAAACTGATAAAAAAAATTTTTTTTTTTTAGTTAACAATTTTATAATGCGGGAGGAAATGTAATAGCAAAAAATTACCTCTTCTGCTTCTTTCTCAGTAGTCATACTATCATCAGCTTCTGTGTTAATAATTAAGGACAGCTTATTGCGTTCAAGTAATTCCCAAAAATTTGTTCTTGGAGGATTAGTAGTAAAAACAATAGTTTTTAATTCTCTAAGAAATTTATTAAACAACTCGGATTCATTTTCCTATCGTAAATTAATTTATGGAAATAAATTTAACTTTAATCAATCTAAATCCCAAAATAATATTATAACATACTTTTGCGCAAGTTTCTCGTAATAAGTTTAAACATTCCAATGCTTTGTCATAAAGTGATGTTCCAAATGAAGATTTCACAAAATGCTCAACTACTTGACACATTTGTTCCACCGCTTTAGATAAAAAATTTTACATTAGCAATTCAGAATCAATAAAAAAACAAAGGGCAATAAAATTGTTTTTACCAGTGGTAACCAAATCTTCTTCACGATTAGCAATCATTTCTTTGAAATTGCCAACAGGATCCGCTAAACTTACTTCACGTATAGGTTCTTGCTTTTCTAACATCAAAGTATTTTCTCTATCTCCATTGTCAGTTTTTGATCTTTTTCCCTTTTCTAAATCTTCATGTTTACCATTGCTTAAAAGTTGATCGAGGCTCAAATTTTGTTCAACGGTTACATTAGCATCAGCGAATCGACGTTTTGTAGTTTTGCCTTTTCCTTTAACTATAATTTAAAATCAATAATTAGCTTAAAGACTTAGAAATTACTTTAATTATCATATATTCACCTTCTTTTATTTTAAATAACGATCGCATTTCATTTACCAATTCTTTATTTTTTTCTACCAATGAAGGTAACATTCTCGTCTGTGCCTTTAAAGCCGGATCGGGTTGTGGCAAAGGTTCCTCTGGATATAACGCTTTATGACTAACAGCTTTTTTTATCATAACATTAACCGGGTTAAAGCATTCTTTCACTTTTAAATATTCTCTAGGATTACTACAGAATGCATAATGAAAAAATGTTTAAATGATTTATTTAAAAGTTAAAATCCGAATAAATTTCATAGGTAACATATGTACTAACCCATCATCATCAATAGCAGCATTCATCAAATCCAAATCTTCAATGAATTTACCCATCTTATTCAGCATTTCTTCAGTTGGTAAATATTCGTGAACTTCTAATTCTTTTCCGGTTTTCGACACAATACGATCCAACGATGGAAAAGTAAATCTCCGATAATCCTCTTTGAAAGGAATCTTTATGATAAATTAGCCAGATAGTCAGATAGATTTGAAAGAATCAATTACTTTGTCAAATAAAACAATTACTATGTGCTTTAGATGCTCACACGGGCAAAGTATAAACATTCTTTGGGTGGTTTAATGTAAGGGATTAAAACACCTAATTTTGGTGGCTCAAAATTTTTTTTCACAAAGCGAACTATAGCATAAGAATCCTTTTCGTATAGTACATGTATAAAAGATGAAAGGCGTTGAGCAGCAACTGGATCATCTTTTTTGGACACCACCGTAAATACGTTTAACAAAACTAGCTCTCTTCTGAACTAAGATTTTTATAAAATTAGATGAAAAAGGGTTTGATAAATAATTCTAAAAGATTTAGATCATAAATTACCTCTTCTTTTCCAATAAACGAAATTATCGATAAACATGGAGAGGATTCAAACGAAAAAACATTTTCATCTTGTTTGCTTATTGGAATAAAAGTTTTGCCTAATGCATAAGCTCTATCCAATTCATCTTGTGGTACGTCAACTTTTTCATTAACATTTTCATCTACAGTTATAGAATAAGTCCTAGATTGACTAACTTCGTATGTTTTGTTCTCGATATTGTTTGCTGTTTCAGCGAGAGCAGAGTATTTTTTGAAACTCTTTAATTTTGCTTTCATTGAACGAGCAATCAATTCAACATCAATTACAAGCGAGGCTGATTTATACGTCTCGGGATCTCCAAGAGTTAAGGTCCCTCGATAAACAGAAGTAGGCTTTACAGGCCTTATATATGGTTTTGAGAGTTGTCTCAAAACATACTCCATAGAAAAGATTGTGCCTTTGCATTTGTCGGCAAGCTTTCGTAAGAATTGCTCATTTCTTTTCTATTTTAAATCGAAACATTTAATGTATTATCGATGTATGTAAAAAGGAACTAATATTGCAGATATGATTTCTTGTTTAACCTTATTTTCAGTTTTGTTTTCTTCAGAATGCCTAATATCAGGATCTTCAAAATCTACACCTCTATGTGATAACAGATAAAAAAAAAAGAATCAAGCTTAAAATTTCATCCAAGTTCCATTAAACATGGTTTGTACCATAACTTAATACTTACAATATGTTTAATTCTATATTTTGACTTAAAATTTGAGATGATACACGATCAAAATCATATTGATTTATGGGAGACTCTCCATCAGTGAAAAGATATATCTTTTTTGTGTACTTTAATTTTTTACAATGTTCTTCGATCATATTCAATGATACGATCATTGCATCAAAAGCTGAAGACATAATTAATTAATTACATAAAGTTGGAATTTTAATATAATTAATCATGATTGCTATTACTAACCATCTGCTTGTACATTTCCACGAGGCATATTATTATTTACTGTTCGAAGGATTGGCAGCTGTGGCTGTTCTATTGGATAAAGTGTAGTTATGTTTTCATATTCGCCTGTTTGTTCGTTCAGCTGATTACTTGTCTCTAATGTATTAAAGGAAATAACTTAATAAAAGGTTATTTTCAAAATCAAATCATCGAATTAAGTCAATCTATCTCGTTACCATCTGTTCCAAATACAATTAACCCTGTCACATCAGATTTAAGACCCGCAAACACCTTAAAATTATATTATTATATTATGAAATAATTTATTGATCTGTAAGTAAATACTGCGTCAAAATTAAACGCGTTTAAATAAAACTTTTCGCGTAAAATTGATGTAATCGTTACCTAACATGTAGTTAGCATATATGAATGCCAAAAAAAGAAAGAAAGGGAAGGAAAAGAAAAAAACAACTATGAAAATACCTTTGCCTCGAGCATAGCTAAAAGGGCCTTTCGAGCCAGATCTAACGCGGTGCTACCCTCACTCCCATCACGCTTAACTTCCCACATTGTAGGTCCTACGTCAACGATAAAAATTGTACATTTTTTGTCTGCCATTGTAAGAACTCGTTTTTATCAAACAAATATTTGAGTATTTCTACAAGCCATCAAAATATATGATAAATCACATGATAGTGATAAATGTGTGATGTTCCCAGGTGACGATAATTTTCTGGTGAATAAAAGTTAATTCTTCAGCCAGCGTTACGATGATTGCAATTTCTAAATCAGACCAAAATTTTGAAAATTATAATCATTTTTATAACCATCTTCTGTAATTTCTTATGAAATTTGAAAAACTGAAGATCATCACCTCCGTCCTTACCATTCAAAAATGCTGATCAAAATTTTCATAAAAAATAGTGATTTATGATTGAATTTTTATTAGCATTAATAATTTAAAAGATAAAAAAAATTTTTTTAAATATATTTAATTTATATTTTATTAATAGTAAAATTATTTTTATTATTTGTATTTAAAATATA